GATTTAGTTCTTGATAAAGCTGACAACATCTCCTGACTCACATGTAAATTGGTGCAACAAGTCGCATCTGGGCACATAATATATAACCAGATGATATTGGGTTTGCAATTTTAAATTAGTTATTATTAAAATAGCTTTAAACTTTGTTTTTAGCCTAATAGTTTAATAATTTGTATTTGAGCTATGACAAGACTGTCAAAGAATTAAAAAAAATATATATACAGTATATATATATAAAATTTGCAAATTATAATAATTTGAAAAGTACTATAAATATACATACTATAGATTGTTCCTTAAAATAAAAAAAATATTTAATATTTGCAATTAAATATAAATAAATAATTAAAATAAATATAATAAACTTGTAAATCTTATTTGATCTTGCATATCGCTTTTGAATATCTTCTAGGTGCTTAGATTGTTTTGGTTTTAAAAAAAAATCAATCAGATGCTTGGTATAACCAATCAAAACCTTAACTGGCTCTAACTCTTTTCCAATTACCAGTTGGAGAGTATGTGCTGCACATAGTTGCCAGTTTATATTTTCAGCTATATACTTTAAATCCTTAATAGCTTTTTGCATATTTTTGCCATTATCAGTTGTTACTGTGAAAGCTTTATCATGTAATTCCAATTTATCTAGTAATGAAAGAATGGCATTACTAATATTTTCTGCAGTATATGGATAATAGATATATTCAACAAAAGTGTAATTTTATGAAATTTAAATTCATAATCTATATATGAACATGTTATACCTAAATATCTTTGCTGATTTTTACTAGTCTAGAGATCACATGTTAAAGATATAGAAGTTGAATTAATATTAATTTTTTTTGTAATTAATTTGAATAAGTAATTATATGCAATATGTACAAGTTTTTTAATAGTTTTAAAACATGGAATTAAAAACTTAGAGTCTAATTCCATTATAAATTTTCTAAAAACTAAATTTTCAAGAACAGTAAGTGGCTGAAAATTAGTTATAATACAATCTGCAAAAAACTGGCATAATTAAAGCTGTTTTGATTTATTATGAGGTAAATTAACCAATTCTGTATTATCAATATAGTCCTCAATTATTCTATAAATATTTGATAAATGAAAAGAACAGTTGCTTGTTTATTGTTTACTTTGTACTTTTTGCCATACTTTTTTTCATTTACCTTTTCAATATCACAAATCGCATGCCTTATATTATCAACATACATGCATTTAAAGTATAACCAAATCCAACTTCTAAGATTATCACCTTCCTCTATATTATTGACCTTTCTCTTTTTATTATATTTATATATATTATTATGTACAGTATGTTGATTAATACTTTGGCATTGTTTTCATTATAGTCAGATATTTTTTATTTTTTTTTCTAATTCGTTTTTACAAATTAAACAACAAATATTAATATATTTATATAAATAATCCTCTATAGTATCGAATGACACCAATTCATATAATTTAAACTCTTCATATAGTTTTAATAGCTAACTAGTTAACTATAGTTTAATAATTAACTATAGTTTTTATATTTATCTGTAGTTATCTATAGTTCAAGTAGTTAACTATAGTTAATTACAGTTTTAAATATTTAACTATAGTTCGAGTAGTTGATTTGCAAAATACATACAAATAATCCAAATTACACAAAAATACGAATTTTAAACAGTTATCCGGATTGTCCATTAATGGATCACATTACTACTTCTATTATACAGTATGTGTAGTTTGTATTCTTTTCTTTGTTTTTAAGATATAATTTTGCATAATAAGTATTATAGTTCATTAGTAATTAATTTGCTAACTAGCTAGTATTTTTTTCTTAGTATTTATGAGAACTGAAAGTTATTTATTGATTTGTATAAATTTTACATATACTGTACTAGATAAATTCTAAAAAGAGTACAATTACTAAAACTGAACATATTTTTATTAAATTTGAATATTTTTTTTGGCCCAAACTTCTAAATTCTGGTCAAATTAAAATTTAATTTTTATTTAACCAGAATTTAAAAAAAGGTTGTGCCAAAAAAGTAAACAAAATAACTATTAACTTAACTTGTATCTTTATTAATATTATCCAAGTTCTATTAAATTAGCTTCTTGACAGGTTACAGGTCAAAAATTGGCCTAACTTAAGTTTGTTTTGAATATAAAATTTGAAAAGTTTTAGTTTAAAATTTGTTATATATTAATATAACAGATACAATATAAAATTATAAATTTCTATAAACCCTACTCTTTAAATTCTTGAAAATAATTTATATAACTATTGATTTGAATATAAGAATTATTAAATCAACTTTATATTAGTGTTAACTTTAAAATCTTTATAATTTTTTATATAAAGTAACTCATTATGACCTGAGTCAATATAAGACCCATCTGGATAAGATTACAGCACGATTCCCCGAAAGCTATTTTCCCGACTCGACATCACACAGAGTGACACCTTGCTAAAAATAAATACTTGCAACTAATAGAATGCTAACCCTAACCATATGTGATATCAGATAAGTGACCTGTCGAGGAATGTCTTTCAGGGAATTGAGTGACAACCCTGGATAATAGCTCTAATTAAGTAGTTAATAAAGTTAATTAAAAAACAATTTGTTAAAAAAAATGGATCAAAATAGTAACTAATTTTGATAAATTTTTTGATTAGATATTTCATTTATAATATTTTAAAAAGGTAATAAAAATCTAATACAGTATTTAAAGTTTAGATTTTCAGGTTTATTGATAGATTTTGTAAACAGCCAAATAGCAATTATATTTTAAACAATCTATTTTTATGTCTTATTTTTTCAAATATTTTATATAGCTACAACAATTTTTTCAAAAAACTAAAATAAAGAAATAAAAAAAATAAAGAAATTTTACAAATTCTATAAATTCTGCATATTATAATTGTTATCACAATAGGTTCTTTAGGGTTGCAGCAATACAAACTCTTTTTGACAATTATTTGAACCACAATTTCCAAAAAACTTTTTACTAGAAAAAAATACAGTATACTAAAGTAAAGTCAACAACTTGCATATAAAATATAGAAAAAGGAACTATAAGTCAACAGCTGTTATTTAGAGGTAGTTCTTATACACTACCTGCTAACAGTCTTAGAGTTTATCACTCACTAACCGCAGGCATAGCACTTGTTGTTTAGAAGTAGTTCTCATATGCTACTTGTCGACAAGTTTAGAGTTTATCATTTACTAAAAAAACTTAGTACTGTGCAAGCTTAGGTGGATAGTTGATTCTTGTAAAAGAAAACTTACACTCTTTTAGTGGTTTTAAGTGTTTTTTCTTTCTTTCGCCTTTTGCCAGCCTTACTCAAAAAGTGGACATTTCAGCTTATTTTTTTCAAAAGATCAGTATTGTTTACACTTATCTAATTTGGACGAACTCAGTAGAATACAACTATGTGTTTGTTTTGTTTATCACAATAGTGCTACAGTACGGGGATGAGATTGATAACCCCATTTAGAAGATACCTAACCCTGGTGACATGTCTGAAACGAGTCCCATGTTAAAGTGAAGCTTTATAGCCAAGATATATTAATTAGTTGCAATTAGTATATAATTTTTATCTTTATATCTGATATGGGTTATAATAGCGTATTTTTTTTTCTTTTTGTTTCTTTCATTTTTTTTTTTTAAGATGGTTTATCAGGACTTCTGTCTTTTTTTCTGCTCTTTTATCTTCATCTTATTATAATAGAACTACATTTAGGATCTTTTTTTTTTTCAGTTAAATGTTTTTTTTCTTTTTTTTGTTTTTGTTTTTCTTTTCCTAGATAATTTTGTTTTTTTTCATAGATGTGGTATATTTTTTCTTCTCTTATAAAAAAGTAAGTGATAAACTATTCTGCTCGGATCTAGGTAGAAAAAGTTTAGAAAAAAGAATAGGTAGTCTTGATAAGCTGGTGGAACCTTTCAGTGAAGATTTATTCTTTTTAGTTGCAGAAAAAAATATTTTGGAGAAAAATCTGCCTATAGCAGGTTACACATGGGTAATTTGGACTTTGGTCACAAAGAGCCAGGTAAGCCAATACTTGTAATTTAGGTGGCATTAGGGTTTTATGGCTTCACCACAAAATCCCAAAAGACAAAATCCCGAAAGAACATAATACCGACTAAATTGGCCAGCATTATCACTAATACTGGCTAACTTTATCGGTATTATATCCTTTTAGGATTTTGTCTTTCGGGATTTTGTGGTAAAGCTGGGTTTTATACCCTTCGAAAATTTTTAATATTTCACAGTATAATATTATAAATAGGGATTGAAACCGCCCAAAAAATTTATTAATCGTTTAATCGTTTAACTGTTTAATTTGGCCGGCATTAAAATAATTCTGGCCCACGACCAACATAATTCTGCCCGGAACTATAGTGCAATTTTTAAACGGTTCCAATCCCTAATTATAAAGCCTAATAAAGTAGAGGCAAGACTGCCGAATTGAAAAAAAAATAAAAATAAAAATTGTTGTCACAATACCCGGGTACTTCTACACTATATTGAACAATATATTTTACTATATCTACCATACTTATGTACCCAGGATCGTCCAGCTCTTAAAACTGGTAGAGGGTACACGCCATGGGGTACCCACGTCCGATAAATACGGTATATCTAGGATAAGGATATCCGCATTTAATCCGAATTGTCAGATTAATCCTTATTTGACGGATTGCGGATCGAAGCACTAGTTATCATTATTGCAGTATTGTAGTATTAACCGTAAGAACTGTCCATAGATTTTGTTGACCAGTAATTTTTGTAATGTGTAATGTCGATGTGAATAATGCCCAAATTAATGTCCGAATTAATAATGCGGACTTGTAATTCAGTAATTAGAGACGTTGATAAAATTTAATTTCACCCATTCTTTATCGTGATTATCATCACGATTATCATTTTGGCATAATGCGTGATTGCATTCATGGCACAATGGGATGTTCATCTTTAAACACGTCCCTTAACTAACGAAAAAATGGCTCAGCAAGTAAAAAACACGAATATAATATGGCGACAATACTTTATAAAATTTTATCATGGAGAAAGAGTTGTGCTATTTAAAGGTCAACAACGAAGAAATATTCAAAATCTTTTGGATAAAAGCACTAAACCCTCAAACACGAATTCATTTTTTAACAAAAATGCTGTAGTAATTGAAAAACTTTCACAAGGAGTTACGTCTTCTGCCGGTTTTAAAGATCGTGTTTCTTTATTACGTAAAATAATTCCACCTAACAACGATACTCCAATAATTTCACCTAGCAACCATACTCCTATAAGACAAAAACAATCGTTAGTGGTAGAGTTTATAAGGCTCATAAAAGCATATAGGGATTTATCGAAAGCAAAACTCGCAGCTCTTGTAATATTGACAACAATGTGCGGATACGCAATGGCACCTATGGCCACTGATCTTACATGCCTTTTCGCAACTACAGCGGGAACAGGATTATGTGTCGCATCTGCAAATGCTATCAATCAATTATTTGAAATTCCGTACGATGCACAAATGTCACGTACGCGAAATAGAGTTCTCGTTCGTAATGCAATATCACCAATTCATGCACTTTCATTTGGTACTTTGACTGGAATGGCTGGTGTAGGAATTTTATCAACTATGGTTAATCCTTTAACTGCTATGTTGGGTGCCTCAAACATTTTATTATATACTTGTGTTTACACTCCTATGAAACGAAAAACCATTGCAAACACATGGATTGGTGCAATCGTTGGTGCGATACCTCCAATGATGGGGTGGGCAGCGTGTACAAATAACTTGGAATTAGGTGCATGGATATTAGGTGGTATTCTTTATGCATGGCAATTTCCTCATTTTAATGCGCTTGCTTGGAACATGCGATCAGATTATTCAAAAGCTGGATATCATATGATGGCTGTAACAAATCCATTATTAAATAGTCGAGTTTCTTTAAGATATACTTTGGCATTATTTCCTTTAAGTTATATAACACCTTATATTGGTATGACAACTTGGTGGTTTGCATTAGATTCAAGTTTAATTAATTGTGTACTTTTATTTAGTGCTTACAAATTTTGGAAAAATTCAAATGATAAATCGGCACGTGATTTATTTTTTGCAAGTCTTGTACATTTACCAGTAATTCTTGCTTTAATGATGGCACATAAAAAGGATCAAGGAATCATAATAAACAATGAAATTTTAGATGTTGATGAAAAAGAATTGGAAAAGGTTATGCAAGAGTTAGAGTCATAGAATTTTATTTAGGGTAAAAAAAATTACGAGTATAGTTAATGTACGTATTAGTTAATGTAGTATATGATTCCTAGCCATTAAATCAAAATCCTCTATTGAATGTAAAATTGCGTTAATATATGCTATATATATAATTATTTACTGTATAAATTTTTGTAAATTCATTGTGAATTCATGTTTATCCAATGTTGAGTTCGACGGGGTGGCCCGGTTACATGATGATCGATGACCCACACCCTGCCGGATACATGGTGATGATCGACTCCCACAGCATATATTTTATTTCATATCGATATGTGAAGTGTACTTTTTTTGAATCGTGATGACATTGCTGCGGCTGGGAGTCGATCATCTACCATCATGTATCCGGCAGGGTGTGGATCATCGACCATCATGTAACCGGACTTTGAAGGGGCCGCCCTGTCGAATTCATCCGATGTTATGAGTTCTTTTATTTTATTCAGGATATTCATTACAAGGAACTAAATTTATACTAACATTAAGGAGTTATCATCAAGCCTAGGATTGATTTATTTTTCAAGCTAAACTTTTAAGGGTTTGGTAAGTATAAACATAAGATTACCATTATCATTATTAAGTAAGAGATTGGCGCTGACTTGTGCCAATCGCCAATCACGAGGAATTGCGTATAACCGCATACGTTATTAAACAATTGTATAAGAAAAGTAGATATAGAATTACTATATATGGTAAAACCTATAAACGAAAATGTAGTGATTTTCAAATGCAAAACGACTATGCATGTTGTACAAATTGAACTGAAAAATTTTTTTTTTCAATTCTCGATCAATCAATTTTGAACTTGGACTTTTGTGTAGTTCTCAAATACAATGTCTGATGAATCAACGTCTAATGCTAAAAAAAGTCGTTCCTTGAGTGACGCAGAACGTCGCCTTATACGAAGACAAAAAAGAATTTTAAATAATGCGAATGGCAGACTAGACCGAATCACATCTACTCATTCAAGCAGCCCTCTTGCCACCGAGGATACGGATCCACAAAAACTATTTAATAATGAAAATCCTCCTGTTTCTTCTTCAACTTTAGGCGATAAACTATTTCATAAAGATCATGAAAATCCTCCTGTTTCTCCTTCAATGTTAGACGATAAACTATTTCATAAAGATCATGAAAATCCTCCCGTTTCTTCAACTTTAAACGATAAACTATTTCATAAAGATCATGAAAATCCTCCTGTTTCTTCAATTTTAGATGACGATAATGATGGATTTTTTGTGAACAATGAACATTCTAGGAGAAAATTAACAAATCTTGATCCAGCAAATAGTAGTACAGTTTCGTTGGCATCTATTTCACCTGAAGATTTAACGATATATGACGAGATAAATAATTATTGCCAACAACAACAACAACAACAGCAGCAACAGAATATACAGCCCTTCCCATTTCTGCCATTTCTTAATCCTGATCTAATAAATCCTGTTCCTCCTGTTCAACAGTTAGATTTTCAATCTAAATTATGGCAATTAATCCATTTTTTTGCAATGATTATGTTGGGATTGCTCGTAACCTGGTTTGAAGTACTTCGGCGAGATGGTAGTTGGAGTCGATTTACTAAGTTGACTTACAGAAATCCGAATGAAATTTCTGAGACTGATCGTGTATCAAATTGGGTAATTATGTTTTTTTTTTTTTTAATATCTATTATTTTAATTGTATCTTCTAAAAATCTTCTAAACCAATTTTTTTATTTTTTTTTTTAGCCACTATTTTGGTATTTTATAACTATTGAGTTGATTCTTCAATCTTCTCGATTATTTATACAAAAGGTATGATTAAACATTCGAATTACATTCGAATATAGATTTTTTTTTTATATATAATTTACTAATAAATTCGCTTTAAAATTTAAAATATAGGGTCGAACATTTGGAGGCACAACTCTAGGTGCAATAGCAGCGAGCTTACCACCTCCACTTTCTGATGCACTTACGTTGTTAATGAGATACAACCTTATTTGGAATAGTCTTTGGGAAGATGTTTGTGTGTTAGCATTTGTAATTGGTTTCTATATAATGACTTCTCCGATTCTATCGATTTTTTTGTGGTAATCGGCTCTATGTTGAGGCATAAGGATCTAGCAGGAGTATTTATTTCTTTGGGTGAAAATAGTCATCGATATGGATAATAATTATTGGCGATGCCAAAAAAAAAAACTATCGTGAAAAAACGTGTTTGGAAAAATTACAATGTAATTATGTAGTGCTGTATCAGTCTTACTTGGAAGTGTATTAATGTATTAACAGTGGATGGGTGATCTATGGATTTGTGAGACATTGATTTGTAAAATTGATAGATAAAGTTGAACTTTTTAAAATGTTGTGATTCCTTTTTGTACTACGTACGAAATATCAATATCCTACTACATTACAGATGATTGTGTTTTAATTTGGAAATCGAAATTATCAAATGTTGAAATGTAGGTAATCTATGAAAGTGTGAATCTTGATTTTGTGAAATAACGTTAATTGTGTATAAAATTGCTATTTCTGAAAAATTTTTTGTAAATTGTAAAAATTTATTTGTTATATAAATTCTGTAAAAAAAAAAAAAAAAAAAAAAAAAAAAAAATATTTTCAAATACTGAAAATGTACTGTAAAATTCAACAAATAAAAATCAAAATGATTTAATATACTAATTTTACCGAATTACTATTGCTATATATAAAAACTTTTTAAAAATTTTTTGGTTATATAAAAGTTTTAGTAGGTATGTATTATAGATTTAAATATGATCAAGAACCACTTTAAAAAATCCTCTATAAATTGTTATACAAACTTAATATACAATAAACCCTAAGTGCAGGTTTTCTTTACGTTTATTTTATTATTATTATTATTATTATTATTTGTAAAGATAGTCCTACCAAATGTTTAAGAAAACGTTCTTGCCAATACATTATAAATATTGTAATTAATTCTTGCATTTATTGTCTTGATTATTTTATCACCTGAAAGTCTTATATGTAAATTTTCATCAACATTCTAAGTATTTAATTAAAAGTAAAAGATCAGACCGATTTAAAAGGGTTGTTTTCCATAGAATACAACTTACTAAGCATTTACTATTGTCGATAGCAATGATAATGAAAGGGTAAAAATTTTCCATCAATAAAAACCCTACGAACGGGTGGCAAATACTTGTATACATGTGAATCAAAAGATAATAGTTTTTTGCAATGGTGACATGGAGATGTATATAGATCGTGAAAACTTGATATCCAATCCTTTTTAAATAAAAAGAATTATTTTTTGAATTTTAAATATATAGAGTAAATTCTTAATTTTTTAACCTTATACTTACAAGCAATTTCGGCATAGGATCACTTTGATCCAAATTATTAAATAATTCAAGTCCAATTTGCGTTATACGCTGGAATACAAGAATATCTGAAAATTCTCGGATTGATTTCTACAAAAATACATATATTTTGCCAATTTAATATTGATGGCCTATTAAATGATGATATAATTAAATTACGTTATAAATACCTTTTCGTGATATCCAATTATAATCAATCGAACAAATGACACTGATGATCCATTAATATCATTATATTTTAGTATTATCCCAGCTTTTAATAAATTATTTACTGAAACCTGTTTATTAAGTAACATTTAATACTTTCAAATTTTATGTTAAGGCGTTAAAATATTGCCCATAAGGATAATATACACACCATTAAACCAGATGGTCTTCCTGATAAGTCACATTCAACTTTTTCAATACCAACGTGGTAAGGTTTTTGCTTTGCTTCAGCTAACCAACCATCAATTGCACTATTGAGTTTGCTGATATAAATATAATATTAGAAAAGTCGGAACATTTTTACGATCGTAAAATTTTTAATTACCTAGCATCGTATATTTCAGTAGTCCCGAAAATGCCATCTTTTTTATGTCGTTTAAAATATACGTCACTCTCTTTAGTGTATATACTAATATGAAAATAAATTTCATAAGTTTATTGATTTCTAACAATTCTAACAATTGCGTATTAGTTTATAGAGGCATTAATACTTTGCTGCTTGTTGACAATTTTTCTGTATATTTTCTTGATAATTTATTGTTTCGCCAGATTTCCCGTCAATATTCATTGCCAAAAATCTTATTAAATGTTCTAAAAATAATTAATCTCAAATTTTGTAAAATTTATACGTAAATTCGACGAATTCCAGTTAACAAACTGTACTTTTTTACTGGAATCGATGAATTATCTGCCCAAGTGGCCGAAATTTTCCGTGCATATTCCAATTCATCTTTATTCAGATAAGAAAAATTCCAAGTCAGATTATTTATTTTATATCTTTGAATATGATAAGTTTGACTGCTTACCTCCACATGAAGACATTAATTGAAGAAACTTATCCATTGTATTCAAACACGAATCATTCATTCTGCCAAATCTGTCTACATCAAACGATGGAGTAAGAGGCTTTTCTCCACGTTTTTCGCGTTCCAATGTTTCTGCATTATCTTTATAATATTGAATAAAATTAACAGACTAATTAAATCAAAATCTGTTTTATATTGAAACAGGTAACTTAAATAAATGTTACTACTTTCAATTTAATTTATTATTCGGTAAACTACTAACCTTGAAACTGGCCTGAATTCAATAAATCTCCGAGATAATCACATACACTCATAAATGACGCACGAAGCTCTTCAACCTAATAAGTGGTTAATAAGTTGATATCTATTAAATAGATCGGAGGTTCCTTTTTTTTTTGATATGTACCATTTCTAATAAGTTATCAAGCTTTTTTATGCTAGCTTTAAGATCAAGGTCGTTACCATCCTTCGTTTGATTCATATTAAACAGCAAGTAGTAATAGTAAAAAAAAAAAAAAAATCTAGCTACGTATATACCAAGTATTTGTGAACTCAGATCCCAAAATTCCGGGTTGGAATGCATCGGATCCCTGGTCAGATGGACCGGAATCGATCAATTTTGCCCAAGAATTTTACTGTTATTCATTAAATAAAAAATGCCTAATTTTTTTTTTATTTTAGAACTTGGTTTAATTTTTTTTATAGATTCAAAATGAACCCGGCTTTGGTTTAGAGCTTCGTATTCGTATTCTTTATTTGAATAAGGCAACTTGAAATTAAAACCTCGTTTAACGTTATTTTTTAAAAAAATTTGCATGGGGGGAGGGGGAAAATTAAACAAACAATAAAATTAAACTAGGTTCAAATAAATCAAATTTAGGTTCATCAGAACCTAAATCAGGTTGAAGTTGAACCTAAAGATGATTAACTAGAATTTATTTTTTAATTTTTTTTTTATTTTCTTAAACAGATTTTATTTCAATTAATCATTTTAACTCTTATTATTAACAAAGAATAATGTTAACAATTAAATTGTTAGCATTACATCTTTTCATTCTGTTGACTTACTACTATATCAACTTGAACTTTTTAATTTTTAAATTTTTTTTTTTACTTTGTTAATTGTTTAATTTTTGGAGGACCCATAAGTGGAGGGAATAATGTTAAATGAGGTTCAACCTTTTCTACAAGGGACTAGAGGTTGGAACCGTTCATCATAATCGAATTTATAACCGGTTTTAACCGGTTATAACTTATAACCGGGTTGAGAATTTTTTAAATCGATCAACCGGTT